CACTATGGTAGAAAAATTGTAAGAAAGCAATGACTCTTACGAAGTTCATCATGACACATTTTCTGTGACAATCGACTGCCTTTGCTTCCGACACTTGCAAAACAAGCTATCAAATTACAGTACCAAACTAAAATGTCATATGTCAGGCTCAGTCGTACGACACTGTCGCCGAAGACCGTCACGAGTGTATGTATTTTAGTATTTATATGGAAAATGGCTCTAATGTTGGCCAATGGATCTAAGATTGGGCCCATCGCTAAACATCTGCTATTTATCAATTTTATCTGAATGAACGCGTCAAATTAGGGGATTTAGGCCGACATAACATCCATTTCCCCTATATGCTTGTGTGAATTCTGAAAATAGCCAGCAAATGTGGCCTGGCAATAACATTTCTGATCAGAAATGGATTAATTTACACCAACACCTGTCATATGATAGTTATTTGATAATTTTATTTTTGATCGAATGTTGTTCTACCGTTTGTGTTGTGTAAGAGCGACGGCGGTAGAGCATGAGAGTACGAATTCAAACAGACTCCTGCACACTACAACGAAGCGAGTGTAGTCAAAAAAACGTCAACCGTGTCAACCCCTGGTCTCAAATATATGATAAATGAAAAGAAATTCGTTGATCAAATATTGAAAGATATTGTTCTCAGTACAGTTTACTCATTGATTAGACAATATGGTTGAGGTAAACAATGGAAAGTACTCACTACTTGGCACTGAAGAAGTCTATACGTGGTGGGCGAAATACGCATATTTGTGGAGAGATATGCAATTATAACGGAATTAAATGGCATTTACTCAAGCCAATGCAATAGATCTAGTACATATGAAAAACCCGTTAAGGGATTAAACATAATAAAATAATTTTAAATGAAAAATGCCAAAACAGCCCATAGGTATCAAAACTTGTTTAAACATTCCTTAACGGTTTAGCTTGGATAATCGTATAGGAGCAGGGGTAACAGGTCCAGGAATAAATATCTCAATATCTATGGGCTACTGACCTACCGTGTTCCAAGCAGAAGTCCAAGCCATTCTTGAATGTTATAAAATTTTCTTGCGTAGAAATTATTGACATTCGAATATCTGCATTATGTCTAATAGCCAAGCAGCACTAAGTGCTTTAAAATCAGCAACATGTAATTCTAAACTTGTATGGGAATGTGCAATGTCACTCCAAAAATTTGCCTGCCAAAACCAAGTGAACCTATATTGGGTTCCTGGTCACTGCGGAATTCAAGGGAATGAGAAAGCCGACATACTAGCTAGACTTGGATCATCTCAACACTTTATAGAACCTGAACCATTCTGTGGAGTTTCTGCTTGCTCTCTTAGAAAGGAGTTCAAGAAATTGGAAAAAAAGAAAGTGGAGACCAGTTGGAGCAACACTCTCATTGCTAGGTCGAAACGGTTTATTAATCCGAGCATTTCAATGACTTGAACTATCAAAGAAAGATCTCAGTATGTACAGTGGTTTAGTAACAGGACATTGTCCATGTAAATATCATTTGAAGCTAATAGGAAAACTTCAAGAGAACATGTGTCGATTATGTGGCATAGAAACAGAAGACTCTAAATACCTGCTATGCTCTTGTATAGCAATCTTCAATAAGAGGCGTATTTTCTGGATAAGGGGCTGACAGAACCCTTTGATATTTAAAATTCAGTTCCCAGCCAAGTAGTGCAATTCATTCGAAATGAAATACCTGACCGGGAGAATGCTTTTGGTCAGTCTATGTCGGTCGCTTCATAAAATGGTGATACGACATGCTGATATAGCAATATTAAAACGGGGTATATATCACAATAGATCTAAGTACTGGTCGCAGAAAACAATATAGCCGTTTTGATTATTCAAGGGAATTGAAAAGAAACTACCCAACCCAGCGAAAAAGTACACAGTATCCCAATTTGTGCCGAGTACTTTATCTGTGTTGAAAGCTAGGTCAAGCGTTTTGCTGAACGTGCCGAAGTGTGGCAATCAAGCCATCAGTCTCAGTAACATATGAGTTTGGCAACCCTGCCCTTATGACTTTTGAGATTGTGTGTTTACATTTTCAAGTCAAGGACGGAAAAAAGTCGTGATAGTTGCCGTTCATCCGCTTCAAGGAAGTGGCACTCGAAGATAAGCCCCTCCGCGAGAAGGAGAAGGGTGACTGATGGCAGAAGCTTTCCATCCTAGAGAAGACAGTTCTCTACCGTGCGTCATTCTGGCAGACGTTTGCAAAACCAAGTACCCAACCGGCAAGTGGAAGATGAATCTTGTCTGTAATATCTTCATGCTACTCGGGCAATGCTACAATCTGAAAAATAGGAAGGACTCGACCTAAAATGCCCACCGGCGGTAGTAGTAGCAGCAATAGACCTGCAGTAGCTTCCCAGTGTCAGCAGTCGCGGTTAGGTACTAAATTCGTCTAACTGCCCCCTATCAAAATGTCGGTCCAAAATCTCGATACTAGTCGCAGTCGTTTGATGATTACCTCCTCCTTGTATCTGCCTGTTATTCCTTCATATTTTTTATCCTTGGTCATGTCGGAATCGCATATTAATATCCCTGAAACTGCTGCCGGTTCCGATTACGTACATTATGACCGCTATTCAGATTGGCTCTGTTACCTCCGGTGTGGTTACCTTCACAATTATGTTAGCAGCATCTTTTTTAATGTTGCTGTTGCCATCGGTGATACGAACAGTTGCGAAAGAGCGTAAAGAGACCTCCACCGCCAATCGAATCCGAGTTCAGTCCATGGAATGAGCTGTACGGCTAACTGATTGGTGTACCATCAATCGTACCGGGGTGTTCTGTACTACCTTGTTCGATGAACAACTTATGAGTGTTATGTCTGTTTGTCTGAGGAAGAAGTAAACCTTACCAACGATTGGCAAAATGTCAACACAAAACAGTGATGCCTTTTTAATATAATATTTTGTGTCGTACTTGTCATCGTGTGCCATGGAGCGCCAATCAGTGTGCCACGATGTGTTTCGGCACAATGTGCAGAGTTGATTACCCCTTGACACTGTCTATAATCCCATATAGAAAAGTAGGCATTAAGAAAATGGCAATCGAAGTTACGAAGTGAAATTTCCATCTAAATATTTGAAAAATCATAGTTAATTTATTGATGATTTCTAAATCTAAAATCAGTTGCAATGAAGCTTGCTTCCTTTGTTATTTCTGCAAAAAATATGGCAATTCAAAAAGCAGATCTGCGACTGTGGGTGATTGAATTTATGGATGGGATTGATATGCGATTACTTTGCTTGATGGGATAAACTAGCTTGATGTTGTTTTCATATTTTTCATGATCCAAGTCCGTACACGAAACGAAAATCAATTATTGTATTCATGTGTTTCACTTATACATTTTTGCCAAAGCCTTATACACACAGAAAAAAAAGTTGTTAAATATTACATCCAAACTGCTGCAACCAGGTCAATCCATCGGTTGTGTAATATAACGTTGTACGATGTACATCGATTTTGCGAACAAAATTACATCCATTGATGTAATATTGTATCTGCTTTTTGCTATTACATCATTATTTCATACATCAGCTTGAATTACATTGATCGACATTACGTTTTTTTTGCTGTGCATTCCATAAGACAAGCCACATAGGTCCTATAAGAATGCATAAAAGGTATGTGTGACCGCTTATACATTTCATTTGACTCATGATCTTCATTAACTTTTTGCAAGGCGTCTGCTTATTAGTTGACTTATACATTTTATGAATAATCAGCAATAGAAATTTGCCAAAAGGTATAAGGAGATTTCTATCCGTGTAGTTTTATCACATAATATGAAAATACATGCAAATTGACAGAGGATAACGTTGTTATCTCAACCTTTACGAAAATCCATATGGGACTGACATGCGATTATAGGCGGTACAAATGAATACGAGTCGAAAGTATGATATTTTTAAAGCAAAAATTGAGGCACTGCTAAAACCAACACTGTCTTGTTAATTGAAACAAACATTCACACAGTGTCCGATTCTTCCTGCATTCTTCCCGTCGTCATCACAACCATCACTCGCCCATGTCGCGTCGTCGGTTTAAACACTTTGCCTTTTCTTTTTCAGAGCACTTCCTTAATTGTATTCTTTCGAAAATAAACAAACTTCCCAGTTGTTTGCCGTTGTACTGTAAGCAGCCACCATCATTTATCAACCTTGCGACGAGAATCGGACGTTAAGTCGAGTCGCATGCACATTTGCGTTTTGTTGCCCGTCTCGGCGGCTTTGCATTCCGGACTGGAGGTTACATAGTCCACCGATCCGATCGTTGTCGCGCCAGTCTGTGCGATAATCCCGCATGCAGTTCAAGCACCTAGGGAATAACAGTCCATAATGCACCCCTACTCGGATCTTTGATGCTTTCCCTCTACTGATTTGATGTGCCACGTTAAATTCACAATCGAAAAACTATAAAAAACAGCGTGCGGTCATTTTACCCCAGGGGAGCGTTTTAGACCGTCCTTCCCTACGTACTTTTTCCAAATAACAAAATTGATGGCGACCTTTTACATCATGGCCAAACAGGCGATGCTTTGTCGGTTTGTGGGAAATGCACTTTCAGTGCGGCTTCCCAGACGGGCGTCCGAGTGCATCCATATGGACGGTCCACCTCGAATCGCCCCATTAATGAGAATACGGTGATTGACACTTGCGGTTGGCTTGGCTTTGCGATGAACTTAGATGGTTGCTACCTAGTCCCATACAAAAGGAAACCACTTTTGAGGACGTTGATAAGGCAGGTGTCGTACGAATAAGCAAAATGTCCGTTGTTATCAAGGTTTTATTTTCGAAGCTATCGCGCGACTAAATAGGTCGTCGACGTTCGCATGTGAACAGATGTTATTTTTTTTTTTCATTTTAATCCAAATAGGAAATGATTGCTGTTATCAAGTTTTATGATAGATGACTGTAAATTATAAATCAAATCGGAGATTCATTCAAGATTGTTATTTCTGCTTACAGGTCGTGATATTCTGCGAAACATCAATGGAGAGTTTCGAGCGGGTGAGCTGACGGCCATCATGGGACCTTCCGGAGCGGGGAAAAGTACACTGCTTGACATTCTGGCTGGTTACACGTAAGTTTGCCGACTATGAGCATTCCGTGATTTATCAGAATTGTGGTACGTGATGGTTTGCTTGCGCGCAGTGAAATATGAAAATATGTAGCTTTACCGATAATGGTTAAACCTGACTTGAAAATACCGAGTAGTCAACTGTAGTGTTTGGAAATAATATTTTTTTTTTCGGGCAGTTGATGTTTAATGAGTAAATAATTCTTGAAATTATGGCGCCTAAAATTCTTTGAAAATTTTCAGCGCATCCTATTAAGGGTATGGACTCGATGGACTTTTTACAATTGATCAAAATCGTAAAACATCAATATTTAGTAAAAATTATGAGCTTTATTCCAAAATTAATTTCTATTGATATTAGGTGCGGTCTATTTATTTGTCACGCTGAGGAAAAATTAACCTCCCTCCCTCCCTTTCGTGACGTTCTTCCTATACCTAATGCATAGCTTGTCACAAAATCATAATCTCTCGTTAGAGCGTAACATAATATGTGCCTACCCCTTAGCCCAGAAAATCTCTTCCTATGTATACTAGATAAACATTGCGTAGTAGTAGTAAAATTATGTTTTTTTTTCTGTTGATTATGGTAGTACATTGATTTAACATTTGAATTGATTAACCTACATGGCTCTCCATCTTTGTTTAATTTGATATTCTAATCTAATATTTGCGTTTTTCAACTAGTTAACAGAATACCCCTTTGGGGGTGTGTTTTGTGTGAATTGAAAAAAGTGAAAACCTACCTAGCTACGAGTATAACTTAACCTAACGTGCTAGATCACGTATGATCTGATGATTTGATCTCAGACAGGTGTCTCTGAACCTTTCCAGGATGAATACTCTCCGTTCTTCTAATGTCTGAATTCCAGCCAGGAGGTGGATCTCAGAATTTCTAGTCCGCGGGGGACTGTTTAGGACCATCCTAAGGATCTTGTTCTGGATCCTTTGGAGTTTAAGGTGATGGCATTTGGCACAACTCTCCCAGATTGGCACCCCGTATTCTATTACGGGAAGGATGATTTATTTGTAGACAGCAAGCTTATTTTTCAGGGATATAGTAGACCTCCTGTTGATGAGTGAATACAGTGATCTTATCAAAATGCTACACTTGGTTTTGGTTTTATCAACGTGCTCCCTGAAAATCAGCTTGCTCTCTAGTGTTAATCCGAGATAGACTACCTCGTACGACCATTCCACCACTATGCCGTTCAGGCAGATCTTATTATTCACCGACGGAACAAGTCTGGGAGATTTAGATTGTGGAAATATGATGACCTGGGTCTTTGCCGCGTTGATACGGATCTTCCAGCTGTTGAAATATTCAGACAGGACGTCCAGGCCTCTCTGAAGTTTGCCAGTTAGAGCTCCGATGACCCTACCCTTGTAGACGATGGATGTGTCATCTGCGAACACAGACAACCATCCACCATCAGGAAGATTTTTTGATCCAATTTAGATCAATTATTGCTCTTTTCCAAAGAAAAAGTTTAGTGAAATTTTCATATTTTTAGATTTCTAGGCGCCATGACCTTGCCGTATTACTGCACTAACGAAAATCTACACAGCGGTGGTCATCAAAAAAGCTGATAATTTCATGAATTGAAATGACTTTCCTCTTTGTAACATGCTAGCCTAATAAATCAATACCACAATTTTCACTCTTACTGCACATTTAGAAGATTTAACGCGTTCAGTGATGATTGTTTCTAATTATGACCTAAGAACTTTATTTCATGACTTTGTTTTGGTATTGGTGAAACCTTTCGCGTTGATGACGACTCTGAAACTGTTCACGCCTATAGGAAAACCCTCTAAGCAAATGTCGAATTTCGTGAAACATAGCGGATCTCATCCTTTCACTCCACTGAAAAATCCCGTATGAAAAATGTTAATCTTTGCATGGAGGAGGGGTCGACGCGGTACACACACTATTTTTAAACAACCCAAATTTGAGTAGGATCTACTCATATCCGTCAAAAGTAGGACAAGATGGCGAATGGAAAACATCGACCTGAATCTGAACGATGTTGTTCATTTGTCATCTTGTCAGTTCCAACTTTGTTTGCTCAATTTAAGATAACCCTACTTTTGACGGATATGGGTAGATCCTAGTTAAATTTGAGTTGTATAGAAATAGCGTGCAGTCAATCCTGCCGTCAAAACAAACTTCATGGTAAATGGAACTGACTCATATGTGAGTACCGTTTAATCAAATTTGCAAAAGCGTAGGTCATTCGAAGAATGAGTAATTTTTTATCAAATATGATTAAATTTCACTCATATTTGAGCATGAGCATGTGCATGATTGACCGCCCACGGTTGCTACTCTGTTATTGCCAGACCAGCTGTAATTACACAGAGAACCAATAGACGATGCTTGGGACTAGCAATCATCCTCAATTTGTAAAAACTGGTGATCTCGAATTAGGCAATACCAGCGCCAGCTGCGCCTGAACGCAGGTCAAGAAAGGAATGGGTAGGAATGTGTTGACGTGACACTCGCTTTGATGGAAGCCGAGCACGAGGAATCACAGGGATGTTGGGTAAGAGGGTTGGGTTTGCAGCAGGGTTCGTTTTGGTAAACGATAAGCTGAATTGATGTCCTAACGATCATATAACGCGAAGGAGCTTGGGACTAAACCCACGGTCTTCTGCTCAGTAAGCAAAAACGTTTGCCACGAGGCAGACGAGCTCCTTTTTAATCATTGATGAATCTTGAATGTGGATGGGCTTGAGATTAGACTCATGATGTTCTGCTCAGTAAGCAAAAACGGTTGCTCTAAGGCCACCGAGCCTCTCATATCACATTATAGCGTTACTCAAGTTTTTATAACTATTCAAACCCGGCACCGACGACAACGAAAAGTTTTACAAAATACACCATAAACAAGCTATATTTTAAAAATTTTAATATGAAAGGATCTGGGACCGCGTTTTTCTCCTCAGTAAGCAAGCCACTGCAACCGACGATCTTTGAAATCCTAAAACTAAAAGCTACGAGAGAGTACTTAGGCCTTCAGTAAGATCCACTTTCACGCGACGTTCAATGTTTCGATTTTCTCTTTACGCATGGTCAGACAATCATAACAAGCTATGACCGACGTGACGATTGTTTAAGACTTGGTTAAACAAGCTATTCAAATGAAATTACGTTCTCGAATTTCACTTGGAATGTAATGAACAACAGTAATACGCGATGATTCATATTTTCAGTGGTTGATGTTTAATTTTAAATATACTAACGGTACTGCCTACGACTACGACGGCGATTACGACAGTGACTACGACGGCGGCTACGATACGACAACAGAGAATTTGTAACTTACCATTTGTCTAGGATAAACACCTTTGCCCGGCACCCAGTGCTTTCCCCAGGAACCGTTTACGGCCACCAGCTACCGCCCGTCCAGACTTGGGCATATCCAGCGAGACATCCCTCAGCTAACTCACAATCTCCGACACTCAATGCAAATCGCAGGGACACTTACGCTAGTTACAACAAAAAACACCCGTGCAAAGAAACGGATCCAATAAACGTCACTCTTGCGAAAGCACACCCGTCGCCGTCGAACGGCAAAAAAAGGAATCGGTGGGCAATTTTGTGATACGGATTTCCAAAATCAAACGGGAATGCACGAATTTCACCACATCCAACTGCGAAACATGTTCGCAAGCACTTATGGTACACTTTCGTTCGAAAACACTTAATTTTTTCAAAAATAGTTGCGAGTGAACCAACATCATCACCGCGTAAATAAACTTAAATTTAAATTATCACTCGTGATGCCACAAATTTCAGGACCGGGAGAAAAAATCAAACAACGCAGATAGCGTTAAATCTTCTGTTGCCTGCAAACATGATGAATCATGTTTTCTTTCTCGATTCTAAAACTTCTCAGAAAGCGAGAAAACCACCACTCACACACGTATAACCGTCCGGGAGGCAGAGTGCCAGCGCTAATCCGGCAAATGCAGCCGAAAACTATGAAAGCGAATGCACGCACAAAACAGAGAACACACTTAATACACAACCGTATCCAAAGGCGTTCGAAACTCGACCGATTAAATTTCACTCATATTTGAGTGACATTTACTCATATATGAGTGAATAACATTTAATCATATTTGAGTAAACATTTACTCACTCTATGACTTAGGTTTTTGCGAATTTGAGTGATCGGGATTCAAATATGAGTCATATTCATTTACCGTGTAGGCCTTTCGAAAAACTATCAAGCCGAACAATGTATTAGGTCCTGTGTAATATTGATCGATTCTCCTCGTTGACTTTCTCTTTCGTTAATAACTTGGCTACAAATCCGTCTCTTGCCGTGTTTTCCATATTAGATGCTAGATAATAGCTTTTTATATCGAACTATGAGTTGAAAATAGCTGGAAGTTTCTATACATGGCCGTGGGTATGCAAAGAGATAATCTACTTAGAGAATCTGTCAATGTTACTTAGGAGCTAATGCATTGTTCGGCTTGCTGACTTGACAGTTCGTTATATGTGTGGTCGTGTAAGCATCTTGATTTATGTTAGGGAAAATGGATGTAATGTCGGCCTAAATGCACCTAATTTGGATCCATACATAAATTTAGCAATTTTCAATAGCCACCAAAAATACCTATTTGTACCGTCCCAATGACGATGACAATGTCATCTAGATAAAATTGATAAATAGCAGGTTTTTAGCCATGGACCCAACGTTAGATCCATAGGCCAACATTAGAGCCATTTCCAAGGGGTAGGTCACTCAGCACAGTGTGCCAAAAACACACCTGGGCACACTCATTAGCAGTTTTTGGCACATAATTTTTATGATCTCTAATGTAACTGGCATCACTGCACTATATCTGTGCCTGCGCAGTACGGATGTGTCAGAATGTGGTTGTTGACACAAACAATTTTTGGTATCTGGAACAGATAATTTCACCGGAGCCTTCAACTCACTCTTACTGCCATGGTCCGCAACCGGAGCGATGGAAGACACCGACATCAC